GTTTTCTAGCTTTACGTTAGGAGAACAATATCATCCTGTGGGCTTCAGATTGTTTTCCTCATTTTTTCCAGATTAGAATATCCTAAAATCGAAAGAAACTGTGGAGCTATTGGTTTCAAAATATAGAATGTAGTCTTCTTTCTCAATTTTGTTTTATGTGTGATATTTGTTTTCCCTTAAAATAATAAAACAAAACTTTATAAATTCCCAAGTGATTTTTTGAGCATCAATTCTGAGAATATCATTGTGATATTTTAAGGGATTAATGAATGAATGAACTGGTAGGATTTCTTTATCTTAAAATATTAAAAGAGTATAAGATGTTTCCAAATAACTATAGTAGCTGAGATAATCTGAGGGACATTTTATAAATACCAGTGTAGCAATGACTTATTAGAGGAATCAGATTTATCTGGTTTGGGTGTAATTGGTCTTTTTGAGGGAAGTAGAAAATGATAAGAGTCTCTAGGAATCAATAGAAAAGACATGCATAATATAGGGAGGACATTCATGGTGAATAAAAAATGCTATCAAGGCTCAGAAGCTGTATTAGTATATTAGAAAGTAGTTTAACTTGTTTCACTTAATAATAGTCTTTAGTTATAGAAGGTTCACATGAAATGGGATTCACTGGATTCATAATGTTCAATAGCCAAGATTTTTCAAATATTTCTTCTTCTCTACCATAACATCCATGGAGAAATATTTGCCCCTTCTTGTATACTATTTTATTTCCTAAATAGAACAACTTAGAAATGCTTACTAACATGTATTGTTGGATACAATATTGTCAACTTTTATCTTAAAGTAGTTTTCAAGTAATTGGAGTGTTTAATAACCTAAAGAAGAGGATGCCACTAACTGCCAAGATAAAACTCTCTTTTAAGCAAACAATTTTAAAAGTCATTTTATAGAAGGAGGATGCCTTATTGAGAATATATGCTAAAAATTGAATAGGCAATAACACTATGTCCTCGTATTCAAAAAGAAGACATTCTTTTCAGAGGTGAAATCTTTCTAAAGGATGAACTATGTTTATGGTTTTCTTACAAATTTCAGAGTAAAAGAAGAAATAAATTATTACAATATGCTCATATACTCTTGCCATGAATGTGGTTTGGTTTAACAAAATGATATTTTGAATTTGATTGAAATGATCAATTTCAAAAAACAATTTAATACTTTCTTGAATATATTGTGTATTGCTCAGTGTTCTCTATGTATTCATTAAGTCATGTTCATTAGTTGGATGTGTCTGCTCCATCAAAATGGTCTTAAAGTGTAAATACCCTTATTAATATGATTAAACCAGGTTTCCTGAGGTGGTTATTATCCTGACATCTCTATTTCCTTCATTTTACTTTCAGCCTTCCTGTAATTTTAAGTTTTAGGTGTGCTTTTTTTGAATAGCATCTAAGTATTTGTTGAAATTATTTTTAAACTTCATATGCTCTAGTGATCTTTTCAGTCTGTTTGCAATAAATATTATATATCTGGATTTCTTTCTTTTTTTGAATCTGATTTCTTTCTACAGTAGTATTATACATACACTCTTTCCCCTTTTGTTTTTTTAATCTTTCTTTTTCTATTGGTTAAATTGGCTGCATTTTATCATATTGCAATTATCCCCTCTGCTGGTGCAAAACAGGGTCACAAAACCACAGCTTAAAGGCCAAATGCCACCCACCACTTGTTTCTGTGAAGAAAGTACTACAGTAAAGTAATGCAGCTACACTCAATCATTTAGATATTTTCTAAGACTGTTTTCAAAATACAGAAGCAGAATTAGAATAATTGCAACACAGACAAGAAGACTTTATTAAATATTTTAATATTTATTATCAGGCTTTTATAAAAAAAAAAGTTTGTTGATCCTGATTTAGAAGATACAGATGTCTTCTTTATTTTCTTTTTCATGTGAGTGGTACTCAGCACAGAACCCAGTTTCATGCATGCTAGTTAAGTGCTCCATCACTTAGCTACATCTCCTGATCTTTCATTTTTGTATTTGAGACTTTACCACGAATTCTGAGGATAAATCATGTTTAATTATTATCATTAGGTAAAATATAAAACCTATGTTATCAACCCTCTATCTCCCAGCATGCATTCTAAAATTGTTCTAAATTAGCTCTATTTAATTCTATTTCAACACTCTTTAACATTGCTCTGTTTTTCTAATCACAATTGTTAGCAATTGTTATTTTTTTATCTACCCCCATGTTACCATATTCTTAATCATTACTTTTGCATATATTTCATTTTGGAGTTGATTTTCTTCTTTTCTTAGGCATATCAGTAGCTTTACTGTTAATGATAAATTTTCAGTTTTGTTTGCTTGAATATATTTTTATTTTTCCCTAGTTTTTCTTTAGCCATTTGAAGATAGTTATCTTCCTGTTTGAGGTGAGTTTTGATTGAGAGGTCAACTGTTAGTCCAAAAATCATTCCTAATTCTTTAGAATATTTATTAAACAAATGTTGTAACTTCCTTTGATGCTCAGAACTCAGGGTTTTTTAAATATTGATTCTTACTTTACCTGTCTCAATCCTTCCTTTTGGATAATTTTTTTTTTCAGATCTACCTTCCAGCTCACTATTTATTTTTTCAATAACATCTAAAACACTATTTATCATATCCCATAGAGTTTAAATTTTTCCTTTTAAACACTTTTTATTTAAAATATTTTTATACTTACTTGTTTGTAATCTCTTTTAAAATAAAATACACAAAGATGCTTATTATCTCCTATATTCAGTAATAAAATAAACAGGTTGTTTATGAGTTTGGTTCTGCCCTTTGTTCTTTTGACTTTTATGATAGCTTCTTTGTGCATTGCTTGGGTTGTGAGTTTATATTTCTTGGCATATTTTCAACAGGAGTTCCCTGGAGCCTGGGTTAAAGGTACAGGCCCCCAGAGAGAATTTGCATTTTCTTCATCCAAATCCTTTTTCAGCTTCACCAATAAGATCAGGGACTTTTAAAAAATCAAGACTATGTCATGAGCACACACATAAGTATATAAGTCTGTGTAGACATCTCACATTGTGTGATTTCTGGTTACAAATCATGTGAATATCCAGAATGATATTCTCCTCCCACACCCAAGAGCCAAGACAAATTTCCTTGTTGTCTAGACCTTCCTGATTTCCGGATTTATGTTAATGTCTCTGATCTGATTCCCTGCTTTGCATGTCTATACATAAGGCTTTGCTTCTGTCCTTAAAGCATGATCATTAGAAGCACAGCTCCAGGCCAGAGAGGCCATGCTCCTCAGCAGTCTGTGAATTCAGCATTCATTCACTCTGCTGGATGTCTACTCTGGCTTCTCTGAAATTACTCCTTGTCTTTAGCAATTTCATTTTTCCACAATCTTAGAACAGTTTTTAAAAACATACACACACACACAAGTGTGTGTAAATGTATGTTTGTGTATCTCATTGAAAAATATAGTGATTTCCATATAGTCTAAACTATCTTACTGACTTTGTACACAGGTTTAAGAACTGTTTTACTCTGGGCTTTTTCTGTAGGTACTTGCAGGAAAATAAATACAGTCCACCATTTTAAGCAGGTTCTACTATATTTCCCAATTTAGTGGTATCCACAATGAACTGAAAAGAAAAACACTGCTCATACCCCACTAAACCATCAGGTTAGGTCCTGTTTCAAGACTAGCTGAAACCTGAAGTTCTTGTGCACCATTAGCACTCTTCCCCACCCCACCCCCATACACACACACACACACACATACACACGTACACACATATATATGTGTGTATATATGTATGTGTGTGTATACATATGTATATAAATAAAATTTTCAGAATTTAAGGCTACAACACTTTTGCAATCCTCTCCCCATTGTGCCTTTGTTGATTTTTAGCCTAGCTGCTCAAGGAAAGTTGAAACTCAGATGCAAAGGTTCAGGTATATGTTTTAAATTTTCTGAAAGTATCTTTGTGATTTTTAAAGGCTCTATGTGATCTGATTTCTTCTTTGAAATCTCTGTCTTTGTAATGACTTTAACAAATATTATAACAGACTTTGGAATTTTTGCAGAACCCTCACTCTTTATAATTGCTAACTTAAATATAGTTTTGTTTTCTATCTAAATAAGAAAAAATGCTGGAATTGATTTTTACTTTCTCTTCAATTTTCATCTTAACCAAACTTGATAAAACACAGATGTATACATATGTACTTAGTAATGTATATGCTTTATCAGCAAAGATATCTTCACTTCTAACTTTAAAAAGTTCCAGGCCAAAAGGTAAAAGAAAAAGGGAAAACAGCAAAACAGGTAATTTGAGATGCAATCTGGATGATAAATTGAGCACTTGACTAAACTGTTATGAGATGGTTGCTTGTGTTTAAGAATGAGGATTTCTTCTGTCCTGAGTGGAGTTGTAGCATAAGCTAATTATTCATTGTAAATGTCTTGAGAGATGACATTTGCCAGACTGTTAAGTAGCCAGTAGATGCTGACTCACATGCCAATACAGGAATTAGAAAAGGATATTTCTTGAGTTGAGAAAAAAGAATTTTGGGTTTTCTGTTTTCTTTAGTTCAATATTGCCTATTTTTTTCTTAGTTTTAAAACACGTGAGTATTTATTATTTATGGCCTTCTATTTCCAAAATGGATAAGGATCATTTTATAAACAACAATAACAAAACACATGTAAAGCAGAAAAATGAAAATATATAAACAAACAACAGTACATTAACTATCTAACCAGATATGAATTTTATCTGTTAAAATAGGTCATTATTCTGATTTCTGATGAGTATTGTAAAGTAATACTAAAAATTTATTATAATAGTTGAGAATGTGAGTATATAATCATATATACTTTTAAAGAATGCAAAAATAACAATGCCAATTATCTCCCTTCTTATATGAAAAAGTATGAGGCATTTTTCATTGTAATTATTTTTCACTATTATTAATATTTCTTTGTTGTTTGAATAGATCAAGAAAATCTGTGGTTCATGAATTGGTGCTTTGTCTATTTAATAGTGACTTAATTATTAAAAATATTTTTTTTAAATTGTGGTAATCAGAAGTAATATAACAAATCACATAATTCAGAAATGTTTTACATTTGAGAAATATTCTTATACTCTACATTTATGGTATAAATACATTTTATCTTAAATAAAGAACCAAATCAAGCACAGCAGAAACTTGCATTACAATTTTAATGTATTTTAAAATATATTTAAACAGCATATTTAAAGAATAATATAATAGACTTCCATTTCTTATTCTCTCAATGGTACACTATTAATTAAAAATATATTACTTAATGTACCCCAATATAGTTAATAGCATATTCTGTAAGATAAACTGTACTTTAAAACAATATTGCAATATACCTGAATTACAAACAAACCCAGAATGATTCTGAAAACATTGCTAATATAAGATTTGTTTGAAAGATCCAAAGGAATGATTAATAAATGGTGTTTTAGAAATATTTTCAGTGAGCTGCAAATAAGCCTAACCATAGAGCCACCATAAGTAGCAAATTATCAGTCTAAAGGTCATGCTTCCAAACATCAGTGTTTGTTAAAGAAAGGCCTTTAAAAGCATTTCAACAGAGAAAATAAATTATTTTCTAAGGGAAGAATACTCACACAAGACACACACATATACACACTCACATACTCTCACACACAACATAATCTTCCCATTTGAAATTATTTGTGCTTGAAGGAAGGTTTACAAAATCCCTTTACAAAAAGGTTTTCACTGAGCTCATTCTCAAAGATATGAAAAATGGATTTCAGCTGTTCTTTCAAAATGGCAATTTTGTCAAAGCCATTCTGGGATTTTTGGTAATTTCCTTCAGTTTAGTTTCAGTGCTTTTACTCCAAATAAAATCCCTTGCATCACATCAATCAGCAAACTCAGTTATAAAGGAAGGCTAAAGAAAATGGCTCTGTCGGCATCCTTGGCCCCAGCACATTTTATGCATGCAGTGACTCTTGTCTGTAGGGAGAGAAATGGAGCACATGTAAATGTTTCTTTATTTTGGACTAAGTTTTTAAATCTGAATAAAAAAAAATCTGCAGCAGTAGTGTTCTAGATAATAGGCAGACATGATTTATTTGAGGTAAGAAGGTTGTTCTACAATTTTTTTTAGTGTTAACTTGGAAAGTTATGGACACAGGCTGAAGCCTGTCTCCGCAGAATTCCTGAAGCTTTGAGCTCCTTGCAAAATCTACAGTTCACAAGCCAAGAAGAAACATGCTCCTACAGTTACACAAATTTTGTTAAACCAAATGGTTATAACAATTATGTGCAATCTTTCAGCTTCTATGTTCTGCCTACCCTTTATTTATTCAAATCCAGTTCAACATTTCACTTTATCTAATGAAGCAGAAAGTGTAAAAGAAAAATTATGTTTATCCAAGCATTTTTTGTTTGGGTTGTTATTTTTTTAAGTTTTATTTCTAAATAAATATCCTATCATAGTTTTCATTGGCACAATGTAACCAAATGCATTCAATTTCCTTCAACAATATTAAACAGTCAAAGGAGTTCTGTTTAATCTCAAAAATTATATAAAAATTGTATGAGGAAAAATGTTGAAATGGAATGAAATTGGAGTCAGCATGCTATATAACATAGTGACCTATATAGCAGATTTAACTGATAAGGCATCCACAAAGGAGAATATATACCTTTAAATAAATAAAAATGACTATATACATGATATTATACATAGGAAGAGAGATGAAATTAGCCAGACTAATTTTAGGAAATTCCCCTTTTGTCTGCTTTTTATTGCAGCCATAAACCTTAATACAAATCTTTTATTATTGCCATAATTATTTAATATTAGTGGCAGCCACATGAGCGTACTACCATATTTCTGTATTTTTTCAAAATGACATTGGAGCTGTCATCGAAGTACAGAACAGAAATGGCATTTAATTTGGTTGGAGCACAACAAGGCTTTGGTACATGGTCAGGAAACATCAGATGAACCTGAGAAAGGGAAAAAAAAAAGTCTTTTTAAGAAATAGGGTAAAGAGACATTTGTTTGCAGCTTTAAAGTAATATGCTTGTTTTGTCATCCACCATCAGGCACACCCTTAATTTGACTAACTTTCTCTTACTATGTTCCATGACTGGTGTGGGGTTGGGGCTGGTAGTGAAGGATGTATTCTTAAGCACTAACACCAAGAATCAATGTCCCCGTTCTAATTAAGCAGGGGTGGGAGGCTTGAAAATAGTCCATCAAATAAAGAAAACTCTCTCTTCAGTGGAAATTTCCTGGGGAAAGAACATGACAACTAGCACTGAGTTGCTTTTAGTTGAAATGACAATTTCTATTCACATCATGAGAAATATGTAAGCTGTAAGTACAAATCAATGAAGACACACAGTTGGACTGCAGAAATACTTAAATGTATGGATTATTTTTTAAAAGGATAATTAAACAATGAGTCATAAATGTTATGTCAACTCTTAATTTTCCATGTTGAAGGAAGAATAAAAAGAATAAAAATCATAATGAAATGAAGTCCAGATATAATCCAATATTTGTTTTAAAGCAATGGTTTCAACTCTTCACAGAATTTTTTATCAGATTCACTAAAGTTTAACATCATTGTATGTTCTTTCTCCCCTGCCCAATCCTAGACAAGTGCGCCAAGAAGCAAGCAAAGCTAAACCAGAAGCAATGGGACCAGATACTTTATAAATTGAGTATCCATTCCCTTAGAAGCCTAAAAAGGTGGCCATACATGAAAGTGAAGTGCTTAAGTAAAGGATTCATGCTCATTCTGATCAGACTGGCAGTTTGCCTGTGAGTTGCAATAATTGAGCAAGGAGCCAGAATGTGCCTCCCCCCTTTCCCACCCACTTCTGGCCCTTCCCCCAAAGGAGTTTATGGGAAGTCCCTTTGATGAGTCTTAAGGGATCTACAAAAAGCAAATGCAGCCTCTTGGAGTTTGGCTGCATAATTCTCTGGCTGAAATGATATAGGAGCCCTGCATGTGGACAGAAACAGCAGAAAAAATGAGGTGTTCTGACATGAACTTGAAGTTTCCTAAGACCTCACAAAACTAAAAGTTGGACAGCTTCTACGAATTTCAGATGCAGCTTGTGTCCCTCATCAGCTTATCTTCCATAACCCACACATATATGATGGATAACCCACACGTTTCAATGGCCTTGGCAGCCCCACGAAGCAGTCACTCTGTAAAAAACGGATTGTTCTTGAATGATTTCTCAAGTCTATTAGTCACAAACATGCTTTTTTTTAACAACAAACATGCCTGTCTTCTTGTTTCATGTCCTTCATAGAACAAATGAAGAGCATGCGCAACACCAGGAAAAAAAAAATATATCAAGCTTCCCATGTCTGCTCGAGTTCTGCAGAGACTGATGTCCTACACCCAGGACAGCAATGCAGTGCAAGGTCTTCTTCCAAGTTCATGTCAAATCTTTTCTAAATGTTTATTGCTCAACATTGACTTTTAGACTTCAGCCTTAAGACTTGCAATAATAATTATCTATTATAGGAAAAAGATGAGAGAAGGGAATATTTGATAAAGGCTTTCTGCCAATAAGCAAACATTGCTTGGCCTGAGGGGAACTTTGATATAGATAAATACATATCAAAGGAAGAAAAGTTATGCAGTTATTGAACTAACAATAAAAAGGGGCAAAGAACTTTGAGAGAAATTAAGTGACATTACTTTATAAGCAAATAGGAGCTATTTCTTCTGTGACTCTACAGAAAGAAGGCAATTGTGACTGTCCCTTCAAAAGGTGAAGCTGCAGCATGCCCCTGTCTACTGGTTGAGGTTTGGTATGTATGACACACTGTCTTTGCAGACCCTGCCTACTTCCCAACTACCCAAGAAGTGCTATGTTATATCAAGAAGAGTGTGCATTTATAGACAGCAAAGGTGAAGGCACTCCCCAGGAACTCACTCTATACCTGAATTTTGCACTGAGGTAATCTCATTAAAAGAAATACATTTGTAAATGACAACCTACCAGAAATACATGTTTGTTTTATATCTTTCTTTCTACCCCAAGGTTATTTCCAAAATTTTTGTAATGCCCATATTGTAGTTGCCATCAATGAGCATTTCTAAATCCTAATTATTTTGTATCATTTTATGAAGTTAATGAAGATGCAAGTAAAACATCAGTGCATTCAAGTATTTGATCTGTCAGTTTATATGTATATATTAATCCTTATTCAGGAGGAAACTGGGATACTCCTTATACTGGCTTTAAATTTTAAATTAATTATGGGGAAAAAGTCAACATTCTAAAGTCAATTTCTCTCAAATTCTAAGAGTACTATCATTATTTTTTGGTAGGGGTCATAAACCAGCCTCACTCCAAAGAAAGGTTTTTTTCCCTAATATCCATTCCTCTCTGTTGCCATCCACCAAGCAGCTCTACTTCTAACATTAATTCTTGATTCTAAAGTAGTGTGTGTTCCACCCTTTTCCTCCTACATACATAGATATATAAATCTCATAATGATTCAAACATTGAGTTGGAATCATATCACATAATCTAGTATACACTCTGGGAACCTCATAAGATACATCTGATTCTCGAGAGGTTTTATACGTTTGTTAGAGATGGTACAATCAGAGACCATCAAAAGTCAACACCACTTCACTATATTGTTCACCAAAATAAGCCTAGTTACTAGAGATTTAAACACCGATAATTTTCTGAGAGTATGGAAGAGGAAAAAGGAAGGTCATTTCCACTTTAAAGATTACACAGGAAGAAAGAGAATGGGGCTGGGGAGAAAAAGGAGGAGAGAGAGAGGGAGGACTGGAAAGAAGGAAACAAGAAACGGCAATCAGTCTCCTACTTAATACCTTATTGAAGAACTGTAATAATACTAAAGTATGTTATAGGACATCCTTCAACATTTAAAGCAAAAACTCTCAGATGAAATTCAGCACAGCTATTAGTCAATATTTTTGTAATGATTACTAATGAATTGTTCCGTTAAACACAGTTCCCTGGGAACCTGCCTAGTTAGTCATACTGTGTAGTGAAGAAATTAGTGCAGAGGATCGCTTCACATGATTATTCCAATATTCCCAACTAGATCCTTCCCTGTCTGTAATACTTAAGCCACTATATCCACAGTTGTTACCTTAGCTATAAAAAATAACAAGGGATCTTGGGAAGATATCCTAATGCATTGATGATTATGAATGGATAACTTTTCTTTAAAACAACATTATATTGTGCTTGCATTATAAACCATTTCAATCCTACAAAAACAGAGCATACCAAAGTCTGAACTATAGCATGGTTGGTGGCATTCATGTGAGCATTAAGTGGAAAAGAACATTCTCCATCACAATAAAATGCAGCATATCCTTCTGGTGCTATAATCCAGTCCTGAAATGCACAGAGAAAAGAGAAAATAAAATCACCTACTTGAAAATAAAGACTCAAAGAAGTTTCATCTGAATAGGTTTTATTTCTTGATCCAACAAGCATTCCAATAGGATAGCCTCTCCCACACACTTTAATTTTAAATTAAAATTTACCAACAAAGTATAAATGTGTTTGCAAGAATTTGTCCTCTTCTCATTTCTCCCAGGAGGTTGCTATGTAAGACATTTATAGCATGCATTAATCCATGTATGTATTCATGAATAAAAACATAATCATGAGATAGCATTCTAAATATTGTTTAAACAGGAAACGATGAACTCCACAAAGTTCAAGTGAACCAGAAAGGATAAGACAAATAAACTTAATTGAGATAATTCTCATTATTTCTTAATAATTCATTCCCCATTTTAGAAGTCTGACAACTTCCTAAAGCTTTAATATTTATTCCATGTGCTATTTTTCTTTTCATTCTTGCATTGACTTTATGGACCCCTTAGCAGAAATAAATTGGAACAAATTCCTTAAAACTATACATGAAAAATTTCAGGAAGCTAAATCATTGGCAATGCAGAATTGTTGCCCTGAATTTTCTCTCCAGAGAAACAAAACTTAGTGTAAATGTAAAAATTATTGTGATATTCATGTTGAAGGTTTATGAAAATTTTGTAAATGTTTACATATTAATATTATTTATTAATAAAATTGTTGTATGTTGAGAATCCATTGTAATAGAATATTAAAGGAAATATAACAAAATAGTTTTTAATGACTATTCTATTTTATTTTTAAGTTCTTTTCACACAGAGCCATTAAAAATTATTTTGGTTAAATTCTCTTCCTCAATTTAGTTATGAAGCATATTTTAACAACAATATGATTTTTTGTTTTGTTCTGGAGACTAAACCAAGGCTCTTGCTTCTGCTGAGAAAGCATTCTACTACTGAGTTAAATCCCTGGCCCTTCTTATTCTTATATTGAAATGTGGTCTAAGTTTCCCAGGCTGGCCTTGAACTTGCAATCCTCCAGCCTCAGCCATCTGAGTAGCTGGGATGATAGGTGTGTACTACCACACCCTGTTACTAATAATACATTTGTAAGTGAAAAAAACATCTCTTTTGTACATCTACTTTATGACAGAGACATTATTGATTATAGTTCTGTTTTCTAGGCTGATAGTTTGGGAACCTAAGAGTACTAATCTGAACTAATATGTTACCCATTTTCAATTTAAAGTTGGGGGTATTTAAACAACACTATTCTTTTTTTTTTCAATTCCTAAATATTATAGACTCATACTTCTTTTCAGATAACTGCATTATACCATAAAATATACTTATTATGCATCAAGGGTGAAAGCAAGCCAAAGGGAGAAATGAAAATTATGTGGATAAAATTTATCCTGAGGAGTCATTCAAAATGATCAAAAACTATACTTGGAAAATTACTGACAAAGATCGTTGACTTAAAATCCTTACCTGCCATCCCAGGTCCCGGAAACTCACATAGAGTTCATGCTTCTTGCAGGCTTGTTTTTGTTCACTTGTATTATAATCTGAAGATTGTTTTAAAAATCACATATTATATAAATGGCTGAATATCAGGTATACAATATTTCTTTTATAAGATTGCTGTTACGATTTTAAAGGGGTTATATTTGAAGATTTAAATTATCAGTTTGAATCCTAAAGCTAGAGCCAATGACAAAACACATGCATTTGAATCATGCTACATGTTCTTTCTTCTTTTGTAAAACCTAGACAGTATCTTCTGCCCTATATGTTACCACCTGTATGACAGGGCATAACTTTGTGATTGCCACTCATGGCATACTAACTGTTCAATATGTGTTCATTCATTAATTTAGTCATACATGATATATTTTTCTATAATAAATATTCTTACAATATTTTTTAACATCTTCCATCAAGCAAACACTGGGATCTTACTAGTTGATTTTATTTTAATATAAATTCATTGTACCTCCAAATTGAGCTTCTGATCATTCCTCAAAAACCTGTCCACTTCTAGAGTTCTCCATTCTTGACTGACATCAGTTGCCCCAGGCATAAAAACCAAAGCAAAATTAAAAGAAACACCAGGAGTCTAAACACATCTTTTGTTTTCACTTTCACATCCAGTCTGTCCAGGCATTTTATGAGCTATTTTTAAATAGATCCAAAATCCACCCACTCTCCTCACCTCCATCATTGCTTCCATTACAAGCCACCATTTCTAGCCTGAATTACTTCAATATCCTCAGTGCTAGCCTCCCTGCTTTTGCCTTTGCTGTCCTACAAAAAAAACCAGTCAAGTGGGTCTTATAAAAAGTAAACTTTATTGTGGTACTTCCCTGGAGGAAGTCCCACTATGTTCCCATCTCAGGGAGAGTGAACTGTTCTCACAGTGGTTACAAGGCTTTATTTTCAAGTCTTTGCTTAAATATCATTTCAAGGAGGCCTTCATTGACTACTCTATTAATGTTGCAACCCTAAACCTGATACTCTTGATTTTTCTAATCTTATTCTATTTTTCCCCCCATTTCCTTTACTGTGTTGTCAAATGCTAGCTATGATGTTCACTCATTTATTATATAAACTGCTGCTTGTCTGTTTTCTCCTACTAGAATGTAAATTCACCAGAGCAAGAGTCTTATTTGGCTCTGTGTAGTTCACTGACATATCCCTGGGGTCTGATACAGTAAGTGACACACAGTAGGCATTCAATAAACATTTGAAGGATTAATAAAACAAATTTCTCAGTATTCCAAAAATTATTTTCATTACATATTTTGGAATGTAATCTGGAATACCCATAATATTTTATAATTGTTTAAAAGGTAAGTATAAATGCAGAACTCCAATCTTGCATTTGGAATGAAGTAAAATACTAAAGAAACATAGAACTTTATGGAACATTTTTCTATGTTGTCTTCTCTGGAACATATTCATGCTTTATACAAATAACATCTTAACTCACTTCGATTGTTTCTAATATGAAATATGAAAGAGAAAAAATATTTATTTCAAAGAAAGTTTGTGTTAAGGTGCTATCTGCCTTTTTAATTATTCAAACGTCAATAAAACCAGAGATCAAATGGGGTCCATCATGGGGGGCCCTGTTGTCTGCCATTCCTGGATCCTTCAAATAATCTTTAATATCAGTCTAGGAAACAAGAGAGTGATTAAATTTTGAAATTGAGGATTTTAAAATTTCTAGATCAATTATTTCTACTGTGCAATTGGAACAAATTTTAAAAGTAAATAATGAAAAATGGAGAAAAAAGAAATTATTTGAGACTTGGTACTATTGTTCTTCAGGGAAAAGTCTCCCTTAATCTAAATAATATCACAAAGAATTGACTTTATTCAGGCAATGGACAACTGTACTTTAAGCATGAAATGGATAAATATATATGAAAAGCCATAAACTACATGCATGGTTATTTGAATTCCATGTTTATAAAAAAAGAAAGAAAGTAAAGTCCAAATATATCTGTTCCATCAATGCAGCTTTCATGCAGGCTAAGTGATGTATATAATGTAACATCACATAAAGGTAACAAGCAATGAAATTTATAATGAAATCTGGTTTCAAGAGTCTGATTTCATAGAGTTAGGACCATATGCTTATTCTGTCAGAAATAAAAATTAATGGATATCGAGTGAAGTAAATGTTGTACCCAAACCAGCAAAGTCTGCAGTTAGATTTACAATAAATGACTGGCAGAATAAGCTGTGGGATAAAGGGCAAGTAAATTAGATTTATATATTTAAAAATATTAATTGGCAGCCCTTAGGAGATTAAAATGAAATGGAGATAACTCTATTGTTGATGAACCTGTCTACAATAAAGTCATACCTGAAATTACTAAAATGTTCTGTTGCCACAGTGGATCCTAGAAAAAGTACACTAACATGCCTCAAACAAAATGCAGGCATTATAGTATAGCACTTTCCTGTTTTTTTCCCCCCTTAATGGTAATAATGTCCAGAAAACAAAGCAAAAACATTGAAACTATTATTAGAATTTTATGCAAATTTCTTTGTGGCTAATTTCCAGATGCAGTATAAATTTAATTTTTTTTTCTACTTTTTTATTGGTGTATTATAGTTCTACATATTGTTGGGCTTTATTGTCACACATTCATATCTGACTTTAAAATATTAGAAAATATGAAAAAGAAAGATTTGGACATAAAAAGTGGTATTAAAAATGAAATCTGCATAGACATTAAGACGCATACTAGTTCCTGAGAAAACAAATAAATGTAGTCTAGCCTCGCTAAGAGAACAACAGACAATAATTAAATCCAAAAAATTCCATCTATCAACATTGGTCTCAAAATAGTATTAGCTTCTTCAGGAGGTAAAACGAGAGAGAGAGAGAAAGAGAGAGAGAGATCATACATTCAAAATAGAATTTAGCATTTAAGCATCACAACAGCTTTACAGCAAGACAGGATGTTAGTTTTCTCATTCCCAGTGCCCAAAGGGAAAAGGAAGTCAGCACCTGCAGCATTAGAACAAAGGAGTTTACTTGCAGCCAATGGACAATGACAGTAAAGGAAGGTCTGTTAAAGAGGCACAAAAGAAAGAATGATGCTACAGCAACAGACTATTCTGTAATGTAGATTTGATATGACCTTGGGAGTAGAGAAATATGTGATAAACTGACAAACAACAGCAATCCCATCCAAAGAAGGGGATTTAAAAATATTATAGCTACTCCAGTTTATTCACCACATTCCACCCCAGCAAATTAACTGTTTGAATATATGCACAAACCAGGAACAATTTATGTTATTTCCTAATATAGGGATATCTGTGCTTGTCTAGGTATGAATGGGTGACATAAAACAGACACCCTAAACTAATAACTGTCTGGTTTATTTCCTTAATTCTGCTCAGCAAGTCATACATCTGAATGACCCAATTAACATCTTCACCTGAGAACCCACTGGAATAAAAACTTAAGCAAAATATTTAGCTTCCAATTGGTTGCAAGACTTCTAATTGAAAATTTCCCAGATGCCTCTAATTTCTGCTTTTTATTTTTTGTTTCCATTTTTAATTTTTAGTACATTGAAATTATGCATAATAGTGGTATTTATTTTGACATATGAATAATTTTCTACATAATAGAAATGTATATAATAAATACATAAAATAGTTTTCTCCATTTCAATCCCAAGTATTATTCCCTTCCCTCCCCATTTTCCTCCCCTTGATCCTCTACTCTATTGATCTTCCTTCTTTTATTTATTTGTTTGTGCATTTCAGTTATATATGTGGAATTGGAATATATTGTGATACATTCATACATGCACATGATATAATTTCATTAAGTTCATTTCCCATTTCTTCCCCTTTGCCTCCCCTCCCTCTTAGTCTCCTGCTTCTACTCTACTATTTGCCCTTCTATTTTATAGAGATCCCATTTTATTTTAGCTTTCTCTCTAGCTTCCACATATGAGAGAAACATTCAACCCTTGACTTTCTGAGTCTGGCTTATTTCATTCAGTATGATGTTCTCCATTTCCATCCATATGCCATCAAATGACATAGATTTATTCTTCTTTTTGGCTCAGTAGAACACCATTGTGTATATATACCACATTTTCTTTATCCATTTGACTATTTCTACTTTTGACCTTACTTTGTTTCAACACTATTTTAGTTAACAGGATCATCAGTCACCATACCTGAAATATATCATCAGCCCATACCTGAAAATTTAGAAAGAGTCTTGATTTTCTTTATTTCTCCCTCAGATCTTATGTTAGATTGGTCCACAAAGCCCCATTACTTGGCCCACTTCACTATTCTAGTTTTAATAGCCTAGTGAAAGCCCTTTGCACTCTTGGTTACCTCATCCTTCCACACTGTCTTCTTCCAGTAACTTTGAATCCTAGGATAATACTTCATTTCTGTTCACCTCACACATCTCTTATTTTTTCTTTATGGACTTTTGATTTTTTGCATTACTGAGAATTGAACTCACTACCTTGTGTAGGCAAGTCCTCTGCTACTGAGTTACATTTCCAGCTCTTTCTTCATATGTCTCTGATTATATGTATTATGGTTTAGGGCCTAAGCATAGCTTCCTAGTTGATATTCTACTCTTCTCACAAAGAAATGTTTGCATATACTACCCATTCAACACATGTACATAATCCTGGAACCGTGTACATCTGTCTGCAATGGTTTCATCCATCCCTCCACTTTCCAAAAAAAAAGTCTATGTTTTTCCTCAGGTAAGTAATTCATGTCTAATCCAAGATTATATGACTGTAGAGTGGTAGAGCCAAGATTATATTAAAGATAGACAATACATAACTAAATGAAAAAATGCACAGATAAAGCTAGCTGACTGCATATTATATGCATTAAAATAATTATTTTTTAGGAATGGTATCTGAATTTTTCATGATTCATGGAACAGATAATAGTTATTAATGTTAATTCTATATAAATAATGTGGATAAGAGATTCATTTACTCAGGAGTTTAAGTCAGAAGGATCACTGAGTTTGAGGACAGTCTGGCAATTTAGTGAAACCCTGTGACAATCCTGTGAGACCCTGTAACATCTCAAAATATAATTTTAAAAATGTCTGAGGATGTAGCTCAGTGGTAGAGTGCTTGTCTGGTATGTGGGAAGCTTTGGAATCAATATTTAGTACCTCAAGAGACAGAGAGAGAAAATGTATGTGGAGAAAAAATTTGGAAGTACACCTAGCATGTTAATATCAGTAGAGCAGGGCAACATCATGGAAGAATTAATAAGGGAAAACATTATGATTTTATTATTTTTAAATACTAAAGAGTACATTAATTATGTAATATAAAATATTTTGAAGAAATAATTTCAAAAAATTCTATTTTCTTGTTTTAATTAGTATCTGTTATGTCAAGAGACATGGATTTATATAAAATCTATTAGGCAAGAGACAATGCCTATAAAAATTGAGAAGTAAATGTACAGAGATATGAAAATTGTGCTCTATATGTGTAATATGAATTGCAATGCATTCTGTTGTTATATATAACAAATTAAAATTTAAAAAAATAAATAAAATTTTTTAATTGAGAAGTAAGTGTAGAATTTTTCATTCAGAAACTGTATGAAAGAATTACCCTAAGAAACACCATAATTTTAGGCAAGGCCACCACATACTTTGACCCACTTTCAAGAATCCTTAGTAGTGAACATGCTATAAATAATCTTTTTCACCATCCTGTAATGACATGTGTTATGATTTAGATATAAAGTGATCCCAAAATATTCATGTGTGAGAATGCAAGACAGTTTAGAGGTGAAAAGATTGTATTATGAGAACCTTAATTTAATCCATGCATTATTCCACTAATGGGGATTAACTAGGTGATAACTGTAGGCAGGCAGGGTGTGGATGGAGAAGGTGAGTCTTTGGGGATGTGCCTTTGGGATACATATTTTATCCCTCAAGAATGTAGCTGTCTATGTCTCTCTGCTTCCTTGTGTAATGCCCTGAGCCTCTCTGTCACACTCATCTGCCTTGATGTTTTGCCACACCTCAGGGCAGGAACAATAGATCTGGTTGTCTATAAACTTAGGCTTCTGTAACCATGAGCCCCAAAATAAACTTTTCACATCTAATTATTTTTGACAGATCTTTTGGTCATAGCAATGAAAAAGATGACTAAAACAACAGGACTTACTATTTTCCCTGCTAATTGTTTTCAGCATTTTATGTAGTTCTTAGAACTAGTTCTTTAAGTAGTTCCTTAAAGGTCCTACCAATCTAGTGTCTTCATATTTTAAAGAGTAGCTACCTTAAAATTCAGCTATTGCTTCCATTTCTTTCCCACACATATTCAAATTTCAAGGGAATATTCATTGTGTTGCCTTAATGTTAAATAGGCAATATCTCCCACAGAATGCCTGGCTCAAACTTCTTGCCAAAACCTTGAAGAAAAACAATGGAGAGGTGGGCAGTTTTTGCAGAAAACCTAGATGCAATGGTTTTTATGGAAGCTAATTTCCCCCATGCAATCAGCACATAAACTTATTCCATAGGGATTCGGGGTACTTCCACTATGTGCTATACACTGTTCTAAGCTTTCTCATGGGGATATGGAAGAATAAATGCATTAAGAAATCAGAGGACAGCAATTTGAAAGAGGGAAGAAATGAGGGTAAGGACAGCAAAAATAACTTGGATTTTAATCCTCCTGTATCCTGTGCTATTTGATATTTTCAACATTTAATGATATGCTTTGAAGGAAGGAAAGGAAGGAGGGAGGGAGGGAAATAGGGAGGGAGAAAGAAAGGGAGGGAGGAAGAAAGGGAGGGAGGGAGAAAGGGAGGGAGGGAGAAAAAAAAAGACAAGAAAGATAGATGCAACTAAGCATGGAATACAACTCTCTTCCCTAAAAGCCACCTTCTATTCCTTCTTAGCCAATGATCCTTTAAACAGTATTTTATTGTAAAAGCCTGGTACTGTTATAGCATTTATTATTTATATTCAGATAATTTAAAATTTTCATTGGCATTTCAAGTCCCCTAAGTATCAAATTTTCTGTTTATACTAAGTGTTCCTTTTCCTTAAACCCCTGTCTTTTAGGCCAAATCCTATGAGGCTTTTCCCAGTTCCCTTGATTATTACCTATTGAAAGGTTAAGTCTCATAGACACAAACCAGCTACCTTCTTTCTTCTTATTATCAAAATATGAACATGCTCCAAAACTATCTACCACATATTTCACAGAAATGGTTGCCAATGACAAACTTTTAAAAAAGAAAATATTGGTCTATATTAGAATAATTTTGTACTCTAAATGGTGTTAGGAAACTGGTGAAAAGTTACGTGATTTCTGCTCCATGTGTTTTATTCATCTATGGGTATAGAAGTACATTTGTTACTTGTGGCCAGGAAGAAGATAAATAGAGTTAGCCAATAGGGAAAAGGACTTTGATGATTTCAATTGCTGGAACTCCTCTGCCAGAGTAATTAGGAATTCTAATACTAAGCATGTGACTTCTACTTTTCTCTTTGTAATTTCCTCAAAAATTATTTACTATTCTATTCAAAGTTTAGCCAACCCTTCTCTTAATGCAGTCTGCTACATTAAATTAAAAACATTTTAACCAAATTTAGAGCCATTCTACATGAAAAGAAAAATATACAACTTTGACAGGCTAGTATTTACAAGGAAGAAAGGGTCTTGGAAAGTTATTTTTCTCCCTCTTCATATTAAGCAATTACAACTTTTTGCCAAACTAAATATCTTATGAAGATCTTTACAAAATAGCTTTGTAACACAGCATAATATCATGTTTACTCTCAAATAAAAGAGGGGTTAAATGTCTTTGGTGGAAAATTATTTTAAAACATCATTTTTATGTAGTATTTAATTCAGTATAATGTATAATTCTTCTATGCATAATTCTTCCCTCCTGCCTCTGTTGCTGGACACGAAAGGGACTTCATTATAACATGATTCTCCTGGTGCTTACACTTTGGGAAATCTTCACTGAATTTCATTTAGTATTTTTGTGGAGAATTTCAGATGCAGAAAAATAAAAACAAAAAATAAAGTTTTTACAATCTATTTCTTATCTAAACACTCATACATAATAAATGTGAGTAATAAATAGCTGCTGGATGATTTTTTTCATTTTCAAGAAACCTGGGAAAATGAATATTTGGGGAACAATGTCAAAGGCAATTTCAAATTACAATTGTAATTTGCAGAAATACCACATGAAGGGATGATGTCTATTTGGGTACCAGCTCACCCATTGTCCCTGGCATGATTCAGGGGATATTAACAAAAATGAATACATATTGTATAAATGAACCAATACTTTGTTCTAGGTGAATCACTGTTCAAACATATTTTTATAGATAAAAATAATTTCTTGGAATAAAATACCCATCATTTTCATCTAAGAACAAGTTATTCAAACTTGTTTGTAGCCTGGACTCACTAAAGTTCTTCTTGGTATAATTAGCCTGATTTAGTCACTTTAGATTCTGGTAGTTAGATGCGTTCTGATCACTTGTGATTTTATCTCCTCTTCTATTAAATAACAGATTAAACTCCTAGTACACTGATATCAGTTGAACATCAATATTTTGCCAAAACATTATATATATATATATATGCAGTCATACACCAAATAACAGTCCTCCAAATAATTTATGGAAATATAAATATTATGTTAATTATCATATAATCTATCCTGTTCCTATATTCAGATAAGAAATGAGTTGCATGATCCCTATTTAAGTACTAAAGAGTAAGAATTTAGAAAATAGTACTAAACAGAAGAATTTATGCTGATTTTCCTGGTTGATCATCCATATTTAGAGGCCCTGGGGAGGTTAAACAAAGCAAGTTATGTCATTTAGTTTGGGCTTGACTTTGTTGATCTAGCCATTTCATAATTTAATTAATGTCAGTTTGATTTTAATTTGAACTGAATCTTTCAACATATGAAGACAAGTCCTACTTATTTTGAAATGAATTACTGAGTGATTCACTGACGAAACATTCTAGGGATGATAGAAACATCACTGGAAGATTTAATATACCAAATGAAGGTCTATACATAGGATAAATTTATTGTGGCTACTTGATTTGCAACATATGACCCCATAACTCTCTATGCACAACTGCTGCTCTAGTTTTATCTTACCTCCAGCACTGGACATCCTGGAGGAGTCCTGATGAGAGCTGGATTTATTGCGGTTTTGATTTTTCCGTTTGTTGGCCGCTCTCACTGATCGAAGAAGTACCTCACTGGCCTTGAAGAAGGCCACCATGAATGGTTGTTTTGATTGAGGCCCATGTCTTCCCACAAGACCAGCAGATTTCACATTGATACTGCGTCCTAGAATACAATGCACAAGGAATTATTTTACGAGATAAAATTTACCTGATGTGAATCAATTCTGAAGTTACTTTGAAAAAGGCAAAAGTTTTAAAGCAGTATCAGAATTTTTTTTTCTTTATAGGCCAAGTTTCTTATCATTCATGGGGTTACTATTACAGACAAACATTCATGCTTAATTTTTTATTGTGATCATTCTTTCACCACAGAACACCCTTGGGCCACATTCACTCATTGACACCTTCTCAGACCTCAAAGTCAGGGACACTCCTAGAAAGGTTTGACTACCCATCAGCCTGGAAATGTCCACATTGAATAAAAATTCCAGAAATCTCATCTGCAGACTCTTCCACACTAAAGACCTCATAATTTTCCTCTAAGTGGTAAAAGCTGAATGCCTAGAAGGTGTTTCTACTTTCTCCAGCTAATTTCAGCCTTTCAGGTAGTAATTAACGCTGAGAGCCTTTCCGCCTTCGCCTCTGCCCAGGGCTTTAGCAAACTTGAGAACTCTGTGCTCTACTTAAAGCTCTTCACAGGTCATTCTGGAAGACCCTTCCAGGGTTGGAGGTTTGCTTTTAAGTTGCACTTCATCCTCATTATGAAGTATCTTGAAGTAAACTAGGAAATTTTAGAATTCCTCTCCTGAGTTTGACATACCTGAATAATGTTTATTGAAAAAGTTTCAAAAGAAGCAAACCAAGTCTGGAGACTCTCAGGAAAGAGAAAAATGTTCAGGTGAATTTTTATAATTCACTTTTGTTAGCCTTTTCTAATTTAAAATAATTGTCACTAAAAATTAAATATAGTCTATGTAAAAATTATAGAAGTACTATATCAACTTATATATAATATCTATGTATACAAAGAAAACCATTGACTGATATCTGGTTCCCTAAAAGTCACTCAAAGAGGATGAATTATTTAACCTTAAGTTGTAAATTTAGTTGAGAATTACTCAAAACTTATACAAAGTTACTACTTAGATATGGACACTACCAATCCTGTAAGAATAATTTATAATGTGGTTTGAAATATGTGCATGATTGACTCCGGCTTTCCCCCTGAGAAATGTGCATGTTTTCTTAAAATATTTATTCTGTAAAGTCTGTGGAGCAGTCTCCGTCCATTATAAGACCTGACCCACCTTAGAAGAAAGAAAAAGAAAACAAGTCCTGAAACAGCATCAATGGCATTTTAGCAAATAAACCCTTGCTCTTAACAAAATTTATTTTGGCAGCATAAACACTTTTGTGTATACTTGTATTGTGCAGAGAGCTTCTACTGTCAGAATATGAGATTGTGTCATGTGAGACTATGCAGCTGTTGGGAAGGACACAGAGGTCCTTTAAATGTGGAGATATTGATTTTTAAAAGAGAGTCTGCCCCAATCCAGGCAGCATAGGTGTCCTCAACAACTGTACTACAACATACTGGGGAAAATTATCTAATGCATACAAGTATTAAAATGGTCATCTGCCTCACAAATGCCACTACATTCAGTCCTACTAGAAAAAGGACTTACAAATAATCAAAGCAGTAAACCTTGAACAAATAAGCATATAGATTTCTCTTTTAAATGCAAACTTACAGTGGCTCTATGCCAGAGTCTACATTTCTTAGAAAAACTCTATCACTGGCATAAATGAAAGAGGCAGTTTGATTTGTGGTCAGAGTAGTTTCCATTCTACTTCCACTGTAACAAATGTATTAATTCAGCTCAGACTTCCTCCTTCTGGCAGCCCTTTTGCTGTAAAAAGAGAAATTAGAAGTTCCAGCCAAATACCATACCTTGAACTGACCCACTTCAATACATAAACACTTTTACAACATGTTTATTCAGGTGTAGCACTTGAAATTGGTTTAAGATGTTTCCAGTGACAGAGAGCTCAGCAAAAGAAAAGAAAGAAAGAAAAAAAAAAAAGAACTGAGAAACTTAACTGTTACAGAATAGAATAACTGGCAATCTGTTCTTCAAATTTTCTAACTTTTTTCTGTCTTGGAGTATGACATAAAAAAATATTTGTCAAAGCTTTTATTTTGATGTTTTAATGAAGTGTTAATTTAACAGGAACTAAATTTTTACTTGTATACATTGATGACTACAGAAATCATTTTTAATATATGATCTTTCTAATGCTGAAATAGGTTGCTGCTAGATGTTCACAAATGGAATATAATAAAATCAGTTTTCCATTCATTACTACACACACTGACCCTTTTAAAGTTAAATATGCACTTAACTCAAAGTTCCAAGTTTCCTTTGGTTTGCAAGAGGGTTTCTTTTATTTTTATTCCAAAGACTTTCAATCTTTTAATTTTTATCTATGGAGAAATAATACTACTCTAAAATTTATGTTCTGAAAACTATAAAGATGTATGCTACAAATATGGGTTTCTTAGGTTTTACAAAGGTAGATATTGTATGTGAAGCAAAGTACCCTTCAAATCAATGTGAACTCCCTTTAAAATAACTTTTAATATTATTAAGTTTCCTCTTGGTTTCCTTTTTACTCCAGCAATGAGGTGACTATTAAGATTCCATAAGTTAGTGCTTGCTCAGTTACCCTTGGTCTTGAACTACACACAGAAGCATTAACTATTTAGCCTACTTCTTAAGACATAGTATACCTACACTGATTATATTAACTAAAGCTTTTTGAGTGGCTGAACAATTAATTTTGTTTAAAATACTGACAGGAATCCAGTATATATTGCATATATTAAAATAGTGAATACTTTATAAAAGTTTATTTGAACATTTTCAATTTTGTTATTAAATATATAGTATGTTTTAAGATATTACAAATACATAATTAAAGATGACTACCTAAAGCATTTTGATTAAGGAAAACTATACATGGTCTGTGTACCACCATGGATATGCTTTTCAGAGCTGACCCTTATTTTTGATTGGTTTCTAGTTTAGACAGATGGAGACATTGACAACACAACCAAAAGTAAGATAGACCATTTATAAAATGAGCATTAAAATAAAAGTATGGTAACCAAACCAGCTAGATTTCCAGTTTAGTCACCGTGGTTTCAGCCATGTTTAGATATAGCGAGAACATTGGTAGTTTTAATTTAACAGACATGTATTTGAATGAAGAGGAGCTACTTCATGGGCAAAAAGTCAACCTAAGGGAAAGGTGAACCCCAAAAGCATAGATTTAAACAATAACAATATCTCAGGGAGCAAAAGGAAGTAGTGATTTTTGAGCCTACAAATTCAGTTACTTCTGGCATAGCTCCAATGGTTGAATTTCTAATTTTTAAAGGAAAGAGATTCAAAGAAAATCTAATGAACTCTTTAATCCAAAGTCTCTGTAACATAGTGGGAGGACAAGGTAGCACTACTTTGGCACTTGATTAACAGAATGTGACACAGTAGTAGAAAAATATTCTCCCTACATTAGACAAATAGCTTCTGAGCAGTTTTGCAATGGGAGAGGATGGCAGCAATGGAACAAGCTCGAAATCACGCATCTGCTCCCGTGTGGCATCAGCATAGACTCCAGAAAAGAGAAGGTAATTGATCAGAATAGTAATCAGACAGCAATGACATTCTTCAGGCACCCTGGCAATTGCACTAGAGCAAGAGATGGCCAGTCATGGGATGAAAACTCCCTTTGGAATATGCTCTCAGAGCAAGAAAAAAATCCCTATGGAATACACATGTGTTTATGATGTACACCAGGATTGGGGTAAGGCTGCGATCTGGTAAACATCAGGAGTGATAACAGGAAGTGAAGAACATGTTTGCTGGGAATTGTTCAAGCAGAGATGGACTTGTGTTCTCCCACACAAGTGGAAAAGGAGAGGAGATGATGAAGAGGATATAGAACAGATTCTTTGAAGAATGTGCCAGTCTTCCACTGATCTCACTGATGGCAGTTTGTGTCTCGTTATCCCGAGTTTATGGATTATGGAATGCTTGGATGATGAAGTACAAGGAGTAATGAAAAATTTATAGGAGTCCAGAGTTTGGTATTGAGATGTCCAATAATTTTTGCTTATGGAAAGGTTTTTTAGAACTATTTGTACCTTGGCCATTTTGTTTTCACCTCGCTTATTGTAAAGATAGCAAGGTAAAAGAAAGTTTTTGGTTTTGTTTTTTTATTTTTTGTTTTGTTGATAAATATGAATAAAGGTAGGGTTGGGTTGGTATCTTCTAAAGAAATGCTTACAGGAATTAAGACTAAAGTTTGTGAGGCTACTAAATTTTGCCGACTTCCAGTTCTAACACTCTGACCCTTACGACTTTATCTGAGTACTGGGACAGAGTATAGATTTGAGTAAAGTCCCAGGATATCCCTTTCATAAGAACCCAACTGAGATTATTTCAAATTTATATTAATGGAGGTCAGCTGGTGAACCAAAGATCCATCCCAAACTCACTGGTTTTGTATTTCAGACCATTCATTTTGCAAAATGTGGCATTCAAATTGTTTATTTCTTTTAAAACACGGTTATTAAAGGAGATTCTGACATAAAACAGTTCTTTAGACATATGTTGATGTTATAAGGATAAGTGGTTCCAAATATGAGCATTTAGTTTCCTTGTAGGATACACAGTTTGAAAAATGCTCATTTGAGGATTTATCAGAGTCTAAACGTTGATATCATTCGGAGATGTTAGCAAGAATCCAACTTTGGTTTTTCTCCTATAAACCCACAGCAATGACTGTTTAACCCAAAACACCTGTGATGAAACTGATGCACAAATTATCTTTCATTCATTCAGAGAAAGACTTTCAGAGAAAGACTTCCAGCATCCTTTATAGACTACTTCATGGAAGACAAATCAGTTCATTGTTTCTCATTCACATATCTACTTGATCTTCACTTATTTTCAACCTGTGGTTAACTTTGGTTCTGATACTTTTCAATTACAGATTCTGTTACTCTAAATTATACTGAAATTTTACTCTTTTTGGAAAGGGATGATTTAAAACGTCCAGAACTTGCTACCCAGCATATAGACTAAATCATGTTTACAT